GGGCTTTGGTTTTTCGGTTGTGCCGTATCTGTCAAAACAAATGATGAGTGCTTCGATAACGAATCTCGAATCTTAAGAGGGAAAAAAATTTTTCATTTTTACCATGAGCAACAAGACATTACAGATGATGAACGTGTATGTTCAAATCGTCTACATCGATTATCGCCAAAATCACTGATAGTGATGAATGGATTTTCAGACTGTTTTATCCAAAATCACGTCATTAGTATCACTAAGAACATCTGATCGATCAGCTTCTCCAATAATTTTTATTGTGCAACTAACGTAATTATGGCATCCTGAACTGCTCACATCCAATTGTCGCTTTTTGAAGAATTGTTTCGTTTCAGTTTTCTATGGGACAAACTTTATCGGCATTTCCATTCTGAGAATCTTTCTTTCACGATGTTCTTCGAAAATGTTTTGTGCATTTGTTTGCGTGCATTTTTTTAAATTTTTATTTTTGTTCTGAACATGCTGTCGCCTTAGCAAATTAATACTGAAAACATTCGAAAACCGTACTCATTTCGTAATTTTTCATTGATGATTTTTCAGTTAGCAACTTATCAAGGACCAGGAAGTTTTCATGTTTTGAGACCGGAGGATATGGCGAAACTTCACAATTTGGCAGCCAAAGGTTAGATTTTTCATTGCTGACGAATCTTGAAGTTATTTAAACAGTGTCGCTGACATCGGTTACTGGTGTTGATCCAGTAAGCTGAGCGAATTGAATGTGTCATCGTTGCCACTAACATTTGAAAAGAGAAGCAAGTTGATGAATCAATTCATTCGGACTAGAATTCAAAAGCACTGAAAGCGAAAACAAGTGTCCTTCATACTTACCCCTCTTCAGTCTCATCAGCAATCTTTGACACCATTAGTAACCAACTGATCACTAAAAATAGATCACTGAGCATTGAACAAATCTTAAATTGTTTTGACGGAAACAATCAGTTTTATCGATGACGTTTTGTGACTTCATTCACTCCTATTCCGTCTATTTTTGAAATTTGACCCGATTATTGTGTGTATCGATATTCCTAACCCTTCCAAACGTTCACGGAAAAAAAAATTCACGCTCTAGAGAACCCCCATAATAGTGAGTAAACTATTCTGGTTTGAAATACCATCGCCTGATAATTGATAACTCATTTGAATTATCTGATACCCGCAGATGATTTGAGGAATACTTTGCGGAATCCTTTTGCGGAATTGTAGATGTTTATAAGCTAGTTTTTATGTTCGAGTTAAGTTTGCTCTCAAATGATTGAATTTGATTTCAGGCGACGATACAGCGTTACAGTATTTGCTCTCAAACTATGAGAATGTTATGATGAGATCAGAGATTCAACGAGCCGAAACATGGACGGTGAGTGCTGAGGTTTCTTCGAAAAGATTTGTGGGAAATTGAAAAATGCTTGAAATTCGTGAAAAGATTGAAAAATCAGCGATTCACTGCCTCCATGCAGAACTGAGACAACAACATGCTCTCATTCAAAACTTCAAACGCTCCTAACGAAACGAAGCGAAAGTTAGCTAGCTGCATGAAGTCCAATTGCAGAATGCCGCATTGTAATTTCCAACTCTAACATTCAGATGTGTTATTGTTTTTCGTCGTTCGCCTTGAAAATGCTGCTTCGCAATATTCTTTCCAGTTTTATCTTCCCCATCAGTTCTGATCGTTCGACTAAACACCATTGAATCATAGAGCACACTGAATGATTTGCTGAACGAAGCGATTAAACAGCACCGCCACTGCTAGAGGCATTCTTTGATAATTTCCGGTTTTCGCTATTGCTGCGCGCCCAATACGGATGTGTCCGCATTTGCATTGGAATTCACAAATTTCAACGGCGATTATAGCGTGGCTACTACCGTTGTTGTTGTTCGGATATCGCCAGAAACCAGTTGTCTGGCGAATACTCAAACAAATAATTTATTAGAAACATTGAAAAGATCA